ACACGGCATCTGTGTCCACAGCTGGACTGGAAAATGATTTTCCGTTTTTATGTGTCGATGAGTTTTTGTTTGTTTGTTTGTAATGGTATTAAAAATGAAAAGTGATGGATTGGCCCATTGGTCATGATCGACTCTGGGCTGGACCAATTACAGCCAAGGAGGCTGATAAATCATTTTAAAAACCATCAGACACATCGCACGCTCATCTCTCTTACAAGGAGTCTAAAAAGCTGCAGACTGGTACCAAAAAAGAGAGGTCACATGACTGCTGCGATGCGTCGACTCCCGGTGACCACAGAACAAAGCGTGTCTGCTGCGTCCACACATTCCTGACCATCCTGCAGTCAAAGGTCATCTGAAATGGCGCCGTGCCTTCCCCGTGTCTGCACCTCTGGAACGATCGCCAGCTGTACGCTCTTTAAATCCAAGTTCAAATCTTTCTGTGGAGCCTTTGAAACAGCTGATGGTTGGAGGCAGGTCGTGGTCGTGACCTCTGCGATCTTCAGGGTTAAACAAGCCATGAAAAGATCTCTGAGTGCTCAGCAACAGGAAGTGATGTCAGAGTATCAGCTGGAAGCAATACAGAGATGATCAGATTGTTTTATTGATCAGTGTTCTGGTTCGTCAGAGTTTGTTTTCAGGGATCAATAAAATGTGAATTTGAAATATTGATGTAAATGTTGAACGACTCTGATGATGTCAGCGTTCCTGGTGTGGGCCTCAGAGACGTGCAGACATTAACCTCTATCAGAGCTTCTTCTCGGCCTGCAGAGAGCGCTCAGTGAGAAACATGGAGCCTCGTCTAAAAGGCTCAAACTTCCTGAGAAAAAACAGCTGATCCGTTTGGGCAGGAAGTAAATAAATCAGGAGATAAATGGGAAATAAACAAGGAAGTAAAGCAGGAGCAGTGACAATATTTCATTAAATGTTTCAAACTCTTTCAGGAGAACCGCGGACAGGTGACCTGCACTAACATTACATGCTGAAAGTAATCAGAGTACATCAAAAATGCTCAGTCACTGATCACTTATCAAACATGTTTGCTAGCCTCAGCGTGCTAACAGTTAGACGCCTCACATCCCAGCGCTGACCCCTTATTGGTCAGATCAGAAACAGACTCCTCCCACTTCTCCGTGGTTTCCTGACTTTACTTCATGAGCTGAAGACGTCTTTGGGTATTATTGATCCAAGGATCAAATTATCAGTAAATCGGCTTCAGGTCAGGAGCCAATCAGACGGCTGAATTCAAGTCATGATGATGATGATGATGATCCTCTTATATAAACAGGATAATCTGAAGTTTACTGTCAAGTTCAAACTACACGTCAGGGATCAGCATGGCTGAAGTCTGCCCGGCAACAGATGAGTGCCGTCAGCGCTGACATTAGCCAATCGCAGTGTTCTAAAAATAAAAAAGCAGTTCAATCAGTTTTCACTTAAAACTCAAAAAGAACCATCGATTTACTTCCTGATGAACATCGATGATTTTACAGTTCAATGAATCCGCAGCAGCAGGATGAGGACGCTTTGCTTTAAACCTCAAAGCTTTTCAAAGTAAAGCGCTGAAAGGCTTTAAATAAATTTTAATCTTGGGGTCAGACAGCAGCTCCACTTCTCTAATATTCAAACCTCATTAAAGTGCTGAACAGTGTGGGGTCATGTGACTCCAGCCTGACATCCTGTGGACACAAGCTGCTCTCAGGAGGAAGAGGTGGTGCTACAGCTACAGCCGACCCAGGGACGCACAGAAGCAGCTTCACGGCCTCTGAGGTCATGTGACAGCAGCGATGTAATCCACATCGCATCTGACGGCACCAGATTTAACTTCCTGTCTGCGCGCACAAGCTTATATAAGCATAAATCTCCCTCAGTGGAAACGATCCACACACACAGGATCAATAACTGATACAGACCGTCCATCTCACTTCCTGTTAATTGAACAGATTCTGCTCGATCACATGGCCGCTTTGACTCGCTGACCGCCCTCTCCCCTCGGTTCAGTCAGCTGGACTCTAATCGGACAAAACCAGGAATGTTAATCACGCTCACAGCCATCAGCTCACATCTCATCACGCCAGCCTCCTCCTGTCCCAGAGAGCATGCTCGCGTTTATTGAACCTGACTGAAACCCTCAGAGTTGGTTGAACAACAAGGACCAATATAAAACAATTATTTATCTTTCATCTCTTCATTTGATGTCAGTTTTTCAGAATAAAGTAAGCGAAAATCAAACTTTACAAATGTTAGACTTTTATTATGAAATGATACACAAAAATAGGAACAGACAAACACTCCCTGCTTACATCACTTCCTGGTACAGACATCATCATTACATTTCTCATTACGTTTACAGTGCTAGCAGCTAGTTAGCTCACGAGCTAACCAAGTTAAATACAATAAGTCAGAGCTGAGGGCGGGGCTCTGTGGTTAGGGACAATCAGAACTGTGCCCCCACCCCCCGATACAGTCGCTCATACAAAAACTCCAAGCCTCAGGGCCGACAGCACCTGAACGCAGCACAAGCCCTTCAGGAAACACTTCAGGGCCCATCAGTATCGACATCATCATCGTTCACTTTAACACATTTCCCTCTTACTTCTTGTCACATGGTCCCCACACACACACACACACAGGTAAGAGCACTGGAGTGTTCAGTAAAGGTTTCAGGAGCAAAGAGGAAGTGAAAGGTCACGTGACTCCGCCCATAGCAGAGGGTCAGAGTAAAACAACTAAACATGACAAGGCTTTCCTGACCTTTGACCGTTTAAAGCTACATCAGTGAGGGGGAAAACATGGCTGAAATCTGCCCGGTAACAGATGAGCCATAGTTTTGACATTGACCAGTCGGACAAGTTTGCGTCATCAGGCTAACCTTTGAATCTGGTCATGTGACTTTAGCTCAAGGACTAGCCTATGAAGCTACATTTTCAGGATCCCCACAGGGAGACGTGAAGGCACAGCTCTGACTGAAGCTGGTCCAGTCCCTGAAGGGTCCAAGTCACAGGTCAAAGGTCAGATATTACAAGATCTCAGCATTAAAACAAGTTCAGACTCGAGAACGGTTAGTCTAAGCTCACTGACATAACTATAGCGAGTCCGAGTCGACACAGTAGCGAACAACTGCAACAAAAAAAATCTCCAATAAGAGAGCGACAAACCAGTCTGAACAGAGACGGACCACAGCGTGTGCCAGGGTGACCACGGCTCCGCCTCCATACACCCTGCCATCATCATAATAACTAGCAGTGAGTCACGTGCGTGCCGTCTAAAGTCACGGCTAAAACACTTCCTGAATCCGACCTGTTACAGCATAACACTGATCGTCACGGTCACGCCGAGTTCATGAACCAAGGAAACTCCTCCTGTGAGAAAGTCTTGACGACAGAAGCAATTCAGTTCATATAAAACAACCCAAAAAAAGGTGAGCCCCTCAGGAACCCTTACATTAACCATGCTGGTGTTTCAGAGTCCTCCAGAGAAGGATGCTCATGAAGACGTGAAGGTCATCCAAGTCCTGTGAAACCCAAAAGAAGAAGAAGAACATGTAGACCAGAGGAAAAAACGTTTGTAAGGCGCTGATTACGGATCTTTGGGAGCTTCGGAGAAAGCTTCGCGGTTCAAAGTCTCCTTTGGATGCTGGTTTAAAGCCCTTTGGAGCTCCTGGTTCCTCCGACTGCTTCTCTGTGCTGCGTATGAAGGAGCCCCGGTGGTATCTGGCTAGGCGCCGGGATCGTGGGAACCAGGGTGTAAGTTAAAGGTTCAGTTTTCGGGTGCATGGGGTAAAAGAGTATGAGACAGATCCAGAGGTAAACATCTGTCTGAGAACTCCTGTGAGGTAAAGTGAGGAAGTGCGCAGTGAATCCTACAAACATCTGGATCACAGCTGGAGGATAAAGTGTTTCTTTAGTGCTGAAGTGGATCTTGTACATCATAAAAGCCAGTGAGTGTGACCTAAAAATGTGTCGCGGCAGTCTCACCAGTAGGGGGTGGTGTCGATGTGGCCCCAGCTCTGCCATTCAGGAAAGATTCCTGCTGATGTCCGAGGGCTTCCAAACGGATCAAAGTCCGAATGGATCTCATCTCTCTTGTCTCCACTGCGGTCCCTCTGGATCGGCACTCCAGCTGGACTCTCAGCGGCCGTGCTCCGACTGTTTTGGTCGGCCGTTGCCAGCCGGTAGTTGTTCCCAAGGTTGTTGTCCCAGAACGTCTGGTCCTGAGTCTGGTACCGGATACAGAACTCCACTTTTCCAGAGGGCTTGAGGAGCTCCGGGAGCGCGATGGAGAATGAGAAGGTGTCGGTGTCGGGGCAACCGTAGACGTTGTTCAGGTACTGACAGCGAACGTCCTGGAAGGAGCACCAAGAGTCAAAGGTGATCCGCACCCAGACAGACTTCTCAAAGCAGATGTTTCGGACCTGGACAGTACCCGAGAGCAGGTGTTCCTGGACTGAACAGGTCTCCAGGCACACCTGCTGGGCTTTGAGACGACTCCTCAGGTCTAAGTAGTCTGCGGCTGGCTGGGTGAAGGCCAGAACCAGGCAAGAACCACAATCTGCTGGATCTGGAAGGAGGAGATGAAGAAAGGTGTCAATAAAGAACATGAAGCTCAGCTGAAATGTTCTGACGTCCCAACTGCTTCAGGGATGCAAAAAGAAGAAAAACAGGCTGTGAGTAAGCGACCAGGCACAAAGAAGCTTCCAGAACAAATGTATTGATTAATAGATTACT